ATAAATATATATTTATAAGAGTGTGTGGGGGAGTGATTGATATATGTATATCTGTTCAATACTAGTTATAATATTCCTTAACATACTTTTAAAAGAATTTTTTTGTTTTAAAATATGAAATGCTTTAAATAGATTAAGTCTTCATTAAATATATTAATTTTAATATTATTTTTTTATTTTTATAAATAATTTTTATCTTTTTTTTAATATATTAAATGTGAGTATTTTAAAAAATTATATTTTTATTTTAAAAAGATAAATTATTAAGTAATTTTATATATTAAAAATATTTTATAATTTAAAATGAAAAAATATAAAATACTAATTATAGATAGTGTGTAGTTTAGATATACATAAAAGAGATTAGGTTGTGGTCTGTGGCGCCCATTCCATTTAGTTTAATATATTAAAACTAAACCCTCGTACGCACACAATCACAACTGTGTCCCAGCACCGCATTGAATGCGAAAAAGATAAGAGAGCGAACGTGAGGTGAGTGAGATTTTTCAAGCCTAGAGGTTATTTTTGACTTTTACCGGGCGAGTCTTCTAAATTTTTTTGTTCAACCTATGTATCTCCTTAATTTTTAGACTCTTGAAGATGAAAAATTTAAGGAGTGATTTAATTTGAAATTTTTGGGTCTTTTGGTGATAGAAAATTACTTTAATAATATATCTAGGTCTATTTTGAGATTGTAGGATGTTTAATCTCTAAATATGAATTCTCCATCCAATTTGAGGATTCTTAAAGTAATGTTTAAGGTTTAAAATAAGGATTTGACATGAGTACAGGCTCAAAATTAATGTTTTAGAGTTATAAAAATTGAGAAACAATTTTATATAAATTGAGATGATCGGCGGAAATTTTAGGATAATATTTGGTCTAAATTAGCCCTACTATGAGATATATATTCATGTGACTTATAGGTAGCTATATCTGTTTACTTCATATACTTGCCTATATGGTTGAAATTTTATTTATGTATGAAATACTTTTTTATTCATAGGAAAATATTTTTAATATATATATATATATATAGCTGAACATGATATCCTGCATTTGTTATATATTTTCATAAACTACTACTGCGTGGAACTATTGCTACTATGATATTTTTTGAGAACCATGTATTTTTAGTTATAAGGTTGTAATTGTTGAAAAAATGATACCATGATTTAGTTATAATTTTTGGAAATTGATACCATGATTTTGCCAGTATATGTAGGAGGTTGCATTGGTGGGACGTTATCTATGTCCATGATTATTGATCATTTGATTTGCCTCCACCTTATGCATAGTGGTTGGCCATTTTTAGAGCCCTTAGTATCTCATATGGAGAGAGATCATGTTAACCTCTAAAATTTCATATCATTTGAACACATTTTTCTCAGATTTTTAATATTTTGACACAATTGTATATATTTTGAATACTTAAGTTAGAAAAATATATATATTGTTTTGGAAATTCAAACTATAGCTCTATTTTGATATTTCAAAGCTAATTTATGATATTTTGGTTTAAGGTTTGGTTAGATATATTTCTGGACTCTTAATGATATTTTTGAAAGGTTTTTAGATAAAGAAATCAAATGCAAAGAGCATAGTGCAAAATAGCAAAGTCAACCTGAAGTCACAATTTTGTTTTACGACTCTCAACGCGACAGCAAAATGAAGCATTTTATTTAGCTAATAAAGTTAGAATTTTGAAGTATATATGACCCATTCTCAGGCCAGTATTATAGACTTCTTGGGAGCATTTGTTAGCTTTGGGTGTGTTAGGGCATGAATTTTATTGGACATTGAGCTTGGATTTGAAGATTGGAAGAGATTTTAGCTTCATATCTTGATTTGTTTTTTTCATTCTCCTTCCTTTCCTTTTGTTCAATGTTTGTGATGAAATATTTATATTTTTTTCATGGTTTTTATGAACATTTGTAGCTAAACCCTTAATTATAGAATTATTTTGAACCCTTTGTATGGATTAAATACTTATTTCTCCTTTGTGTTTGTGATTAATGATATGATTATGTTGATTTTACTCTTTTCTTAATGCTTCTAAATGTTTGGCCACCATTTAAATGTTGAATTCACTTGGATGATGCTTGAGAGAGCTAGTTTAAGTGTAAAACTTGAGTAAAATTGCATGAAAACTTAAAGTTTGCAGGTTAAATGAATGGTTTTGTTAATGGAATAATGATACACTTATTAACCTCACATAGTCACATAAAACTTGCAAAGTAAATTAGAGTTTAATTAGTTAATTAAGAGATTAATTAAATTAAATACCTATTTGGAGACTTGAGATAGCACTTGTAGGTAATTTAGTATCCTTGACTAGCATAATTCATTATTAAGAGCAAAATATATTAGGGCTTAATTGAGTACTCTTGAAGTATAAAGGGGAATGAATAATCTTAAGCCTAATTACTTTCAAAAAGTCTTAAATCAATTTTTTTATGTTTTTTCATACTTTTTCACACATTTAATTTATATTTTAAACACCAATCATAGTTTGTATTTTCTCAACTTAATTGAATTCACAATATTTTTTATTTGACCATATTTTTAATACAAATCTTCGTAAGAATGATACTTTACTTATTTTATATTATTTGCTACAACCCCTCTACTTGCGAAGCATAACAAGTCCCCTTTGAAGAGTTTTAAAGAATTGGAACCCGTGGCTCAATGGTGAAGCATGAGGTCTTTGGCCAAGCTATAACTTGCCATTGATAAGCTTGGTGAAGTCTAGTCACATTAATTGATCCTGTTAATTGTGGTAGCCAACAAGTTAAATGTAAGGAATAATAAGGAAAAGTTGAGGATGGAGTTGCATTCATGTCTGCATGAATTTTATATTTATGTATATGGAATTAAATTATATTTGTGAAAGTTTGGTCCACTCAACTAACTTTAACTTGCCTAGTATATTTTGTAAATACTTTATAATTACTCAGACTTTTAAATTTTATTATATGATTATAAAAATTTCAAGTCAATGTAGCGGAGCAAAGGGGAAGCAACCAAATGCTTGAGACTTTTCTTAGCAAAGCCTTAAGTCCATTTAATTAGTTTGAGAAATAATAATTGCCAGTGTAGGATTCATCATTTGCTATTAGGAGTTAAATTATTTGTTTGTTTATTTGCTTATTTGATTTTTTCGATGAAAATGTTATTAGTTGACATATTTAGTCAAAATTAAATACTTAAGCAATTAATTTGAGTTAGGACATGTGTCTAGGCCTCTAGGGGCTTGACTATACTAATATCTTGTGAATTAGAATCTTATTATTTTATAAATTTATTTCTATCTATCATGATAAACTCCTTCTTATCATGGTAGGAGCTGTGTTCTTGACCTTAAAATTATATATCCAAAACCTCAATTCTAGTTTAATATTTTTCTACACAGGTTAATTTTTAAGTATATGTTTTATTAATTGAGACTTCTTATAACCATAGTAGTTTTTAAAAATTACATTTGATCCTTTTCTACCATGGTTACCTCTTAAAGGAATTTTAAAAAGTTAGTTTTAAATTTGTATACTATGGTAATTGATTTTGTGAGTTTAATTTTTATTAGCATGGTATTTTTCTAAGATTTTTGTGTTGAAAGTTTAGATATTACAAGTGGGATAGGGAGGAACTTTTGTGGCTGGCTTGACGTTCATGTTGTTGATTGTACGACTCAAGCACACCCACCCTATGAGGAGAGAGAAGGCAAACATTTTGGAAAACCATCCTCTAATAGTTCCTTCATTGCTAGATCTGCCTATAATTTTCTTCTTGTAGATACGCACCAACAAGCTTATATTGCGATGGCCTTTTTTAGGGGAAGATCAAGTATTTCATGTGGTTCTTTACGCATGGAAGAGTGCATGGAGCTTCGAACAAGGAGAGGTATTCAAAGTAACGATAGCTACCCAACGAGATGCAATACTAAGGAGGACTCTATGCATCTGTTACGTGACTATACTAATGCCTTAAACAGGTGGAAGTTTGTGATCAAAGATGACAAACTTGAGACTTTCTGCTCCTTACAAGGTGTGGAATGGGTCAAGTGGATCTGAAGATGGAAGGGGGGAAGGATTTCACTAAGAAAATTTGTCGGCAAACCCTATTTGGCTTCATCTGTTGGGATATTTTGGTTAATAGATGTAATCTTGTTTTTGGCTACGGGGAACAAGGAATCTCTCATGATGGATTGTTTAGTTTATTTAGAGCTTATATGTACAAGGAGCTAATGAATAACTGCCCCTATTCAAAACCAATGACTAGGTGTAGGAACAGGTAAGCAGAGGCCATGATGATTTCTTCAAATTAAACTGCCTGTTAATTGTTCAGTTAAAAGTGAAGCAGCAGATGTGAAGGCACTATTCGCAATGGGAACAATAATTAGATTTGCGGTTTTAGCTCCAAATTAATTGATGTCCCTCCAGGTGTGGCCAAGTACTAGGATTATATTTTACCAAAAAAAAAAATATTAGGATTATACAGGGCCTAAGTATGTGCCGGTAGGGGGGTCTCTCCAAATTTTAGATCTTTTCTGACTAATCTTAAGCACTTACCTTCATCATTAAAGAATATTGTGATGTTAACTACCTTTGAGGGACATTGTTGATCAAGCTCAATGTTTCCCTTCTCAGGGATAGTCAATTTTATTTTCTTCATGTTACCCAGGAATGTAATAGTGAATCTAACTTTCTAACTAGGTATTCCCATACTATGATGGGAAATTTTTACCTCTTTAATTATCATCCTTCTACTGAATTAGGTGAGGAAGATGATGAAAGAGGATAGCTTAGTTTTTGATCTGGACTTTTAGTTGGGACTAAAAAGCATGCCGTCCGTGAACATGTGATAAGCGCTTTTTGAACCGTGCCCTGCCTCGTGAGTTCTCCGTGTCTAGCTCTTAAAAATTTTATTTATACAAAACCAAATATTTAAAAAAAAAAAAAAAAAAAAAACCAACAGACAAAGAAAACAAAACAAAAGGAATTCTCTGAGGACTACTTGCGGATAATAGAGAAGGAGATTCTGCCGAGACCTCGCCATCTCGGGTTCCTCAAGCCTCTGCTATGTGGGAATAGAACTAACTGAAAGCCTGAAACCAGTGAGTGAACTCTAGTCTGGAGGAATCGTAATCGGAGGAAATATCCGATGGCTTACGAGATTTCTGCCTTCGTCTTCAACAGCACCACCCCTACTCTCATCTCCTTCCATGAGAATTACTCCGCTAGCTGTCTTGTAATTTCTTCATCCTTCTCTGATTCCACCTTCTTACCTTCCAAGTTCTACCCTTGCTTCAAAGCACCGCAGAATTTCAAGCCCCTCACTCTCCTACATGGCGAGCGACTCTGTGAGTATTCCTTGTTCTTTTTTACCCTGTTCTGGTTTTCGTCGCAAGGTTTTAAATCTTTATTTTCTTAACATGCTGTAGTTTCCATGTGCTCAAGATAAGATTGGGAAATGGACATGTCTATGTTTTTGTATGAGTCATATGGGCGTCAATAGATTTGGGTGCTGATCTTAAAGAGAGGACCGGAGAATAAGTTTTCAAGAAGTCTTCATTTCGATTGAGACTGGATCATTGTTCATGTTTTGTTTTGATAAATTAGTGGGAAATGAAAAAGAAAATAAGCGTGTTACTTCTGCTTTGATTATCTCGTTGTGCCAGCCAACAGTGAATGGTTGTTGCATTTTTTTTTTTTTTCCCTGATGATGTACTTGATGATTTTCTAATTTTTTTCTCTAAACGTAATGTTCGTGCGTCACTAAAATGGGAGAATGTTTTTAGGTCCACTAGCTAGCAGTTTATCTTCTGCTCAAGTGGAAGAGCAAAAGGAGGTTGAAATTGTGGAGGGTTACACTATGACCGAAATTTGCGACAGAATGATAGATGTGTTCATGACTGAGAAGACAAAATCAAAGGAATGGAGGAAGTATTTGGTATTCAGAGAAGAGTGGAATAAATATAAGGATAGCTTCTACAGAAGGTGCCAGAAGAGGGCAGACATGGAGAATGACCCAGTTAAGAAGCAAAAATTCATTTCACTGTGGAAAAAGATGAAGAAGGTAAATCAATGCTATCAATTTACCTGTGTTTACGCCCCTTGCAATTTTGGATGCTTGGAAAATTAGTCTTTTGGCCTTGATGGGAAATTAGGAAAAGCTGAGAATTCTCTTTCGTTCAAATTTAGTTTGAAAATGACAAGTCAAACATTTGATTTGGACTAAATAAATGGGAGCTGATAATTTGTTCAGCAATTACCTCACGAACTGATAATTTCATATTCTTTTTTCTTTTTCTTTTTCTTTTTTTAACTTACCTTCTTTTCTAGTGGTAAGTATTTGTAGAAACTAGGAACCAAATAGCTATCTCATATCTAGAGTCTAGACACTTACTTGATTTTAGAGCTTCTTCCTCGGTTCTGCTTGATCAGGTATAAGAATTGCAGATTGATGATGAAATGGAAGGACACGGTGACCTGCTCAAGGAGGTGCAAGATAGCCCTACTGATATAAATGCCATAGTTGCAAGGAGGCGTAAAGATTTTACAGGGGAATTCTTCCGTTACCTTTCTCTCCTTTCAGACACATATGATAGCTTGGAAGACCAAGATGGTGAGAATGTGGATAAAGGAATTAATTTGACTCTGGACTGATATTATGAATAAACATTGATTGTAAATTAAATCTAGTAAACACTAGAAAGCAAGAGATGTGTGATGGTTAAGAATCCTTGTAGTTGTAATCCAAGTTCCCAACTCATAATCTAAGATGGGTGGGATATTTAAACTATATGTTTAGTTGAAACTATAAAAATGAACTTTCTTCATTATGATGCATCCAAAAGAAAACTGAGAATTATTTCTTGATCTTCCTGCTTCAATTGATTGGCCCATTTGTTGTGCAGCAATTGCCAGGCTTGGGACTAGATGCTTGTCAGCTGTCAGTGCATATGATAACACTCTAGAGATTGTGGAGACATTGGATCCTGCACAGGCGAAATTTGATGATATTCTCAACTCACCATCAATTGATGTGGCATGTGAGAAGATCAAAAGCCTTGCAAAGGCAAAGGAACTTGATTCGTCATTAATCCTCTTGATAAATAGTGCTTGGGCTAAAGCAAAAGAGTCTTCAACACTGAAAAATGAGGTACAATTATAGAACATGATATTCCAGGGATTTGTCATGACTTTGTGTTCCTGCTGCCATTTTCACTGAATGGATAAACTTTTGTGTTTGAATCTCAGTAGGATGGGAAGCTTTCAAGTTCCTTTTTAATATAATGGTGAATTATCAGTATAGGAGCAGAAGAAAAGTAGATATTTATGCTGTTCTTGTCTTGAGATCTGAAAAATAAATAAATTATTTAAGTTGATAATTCTGAGTGTTGATGTTTTCTTTTGATCTGTACAAGCTGAAGAACCAAATTTTTATTCTTTTCAGCATATATAGAGCACATGGAAGCTTAATTTTGCTTGCTCAAGCCGAGAAGAAATATGTTTATACGGCATTCTGTGTGCTCAAACAACATTTTTCGATTCTCTGCAGGTAAAAGATATAATGTATCAATTGTACAAGACCACAAAGAGCAGTCTAAGGAGCATGGCTCCTAAAGAAATCAAGCTACTCAAGCATTTGTTGAATATTGTAGATCCTGAGGAGAGATTCTCTGCATTAGCAACGGCTTTCTCTCCTGGTGGTAAACATGAAACCAAGGACCCTGATGCATTATACACGTAAGAGGACACCCTTCTGCTTCATTTTTAAATAGTGATTTTTGTGATCATTCTTATTTGCTTCTCCAACTCTCTCCTTGATTGAGCAGTACCCCGAAGGAGCTGCATAAGTGGGTTAAGATCATGCTTGATGCATATCATTTGAATAAAGAAGAAACAGAGTTCAGGGAAGCCAAGCAGATAACTGAACCTGTGGTTATCCAGAGGCTGTTCATCCTCAAGGAAACCATTGAAGAGGAATATCTGGAAAAAAATACATTTCAAAAGTCTGATGCAGAAAAAGACTCTAAGTCAGAAGAAGAGTTATAAGGTTCTTTCCTTAAAAAATATAAGTTTCCCTTCCTTCCCCGCTCGCTCTATTGTTTCATACCTTGAAAGGAAAAGGGAACAAGGAAAGAAGGGTCAAAGAAGGAAATGATCAAGCGTACCAAAGTTTTTTCAAGTGGCTACTTGCAGCTGGGGCCCCAACTTATCTGCTTTCAAAGATTTTTGTACGGGTGTAATCTAGTTTTTTTTTAATTTTTATGATAAAAAATTTAGATAAGTTGATTCTCAAGCCTTGCCAAAGTTAAGGCATACCTTGATTTAATATATTTGTGTCTCCTATTAGGAGGACTCGAATCATGTTTACTTCCTTTGCATGGAAAACTAGTGGGGTTGTACTCATGAGAAAGCTGAAGGTGTAAATTAAAAACCCCCCATCAAAACAATTTGGCCTTGCTTTGATGAGGAGCATTTTTCCCTCCCTTTTCTCTGGATGAGGATTTGGCCTGTAGGGAACTTGGAACAATATCTATATTTAGTGAGTTAGCGGATAAAATATTCCTATTTTTCCCCATTGAAGCACTCTTGTTGGTCATTTAAATTCATTTCCTTGATCTCTTGGAAAGGAAATTAGCCCTCACGGCAAATAGAAAAGGGAAATAAGTCCTCAGCTTCTCTGGGATGCATGAATGATTTTGTTCTTTTCTTCTTATTCTTTGGAACAGTGCATGAATCAAATTTTTTCTCGCAAGTTTGGCGAGACATCCCAAGAAATATAGCATGAACCAGGTCCTTAATGGGATGTTTTCCACATGAACTGAGAGGTTGAAGTTGGCGAGACATTTAATGCCTCAATTTAATACAGAGCCAGCCCTCGATGGTCCTAAGTTCGAGTCGTAGTTTTCCTTAAATATGCCACCCAACGTAGGCCAACCCATTGCAGGGGAATATAGCGTTCGAATGCATTTTTTATATAAATATTTTATACTTAACGTGCTTATTTTTAACAGAAACGTCTATCTTTTATCTATTATTTATTTTATAATAAATTTTTGTTGTTAATATTATTAACATTTTAAAATTCAATTATTTTGATTTGAGCACTGAATTCTTATCTTTAGTCAAAGTCACAAACATCAGTTCCTTATGATTTGTGAAACAGAAGTCCAATTTGCTCTCACTTTTTCATAGTCTTCGCGTTGGCCTTTTTAATTAGGATTAGAGTTTCCTCGGAGTATTACCATTTCTCTTCATAATCTTTTCAAGTTCAAAGTTCAAAACCATTAAACGTCAGGAACAAGAGAAAATAAAAATGGCTGATCTTCGAAATTTCAGCCAATAAAATTGTCTCAACCAAAAAATAGATAAAATCTATTAATCAGATGTGCCAATGAGATGTGAAAATAGATAGTTAGTTCGTAGTCTTCTTCAAAGTTCTTGCAAAATAAACCCATCAATCACCATATGAAGATGGCAGGGAATCCACTTGCCACGAAAAGACGGTGGAAAATTGACAACCTGACCCACACCCATTGGAGTTAGCTCGATCCTTCATTCATTCCAATTATTACCATCATTGCCACCATATGTCCCGTTTAATCATATCATGTGAAGTAGAATACAAGATAATCGATTGAGATCTTAACACGCATCAAATTTTAAAATTACAACCCAGAAAAAAAAATTACTGAGAATATTTGTTGAGTCATTTGGATAAATAATTACAACTACAACACTCCTCCGAATCTGACTTCCCATGTCAAACAACTGCCGAGAGAGGTAGAAACGGAGTTATTCAAAGCATAAACAGAGACTGAATCTTGATATATTATAGAAAATCCAGGAGCAATAATTACACTATATATAGTTATGAGGATGATGTGATGAGAGGAATAATCCCTTATTATTGATTACAGAGAACAGACACTACTGCATCTGCATGATGATGATCAGCTGATGAAGATGATGGAGGGGTCGCAGCAGCACTCGTCGATGAGGCAGCAGCAACACAAGGCAGCAAGGCTGGCACAGAGGAACACAAATCATGATCATCCCACAATATTCTGTAATGTAAATTGATCCTATAAGAAAATAAAATAACAATATTGGTATAATTAATAAGAAGGTTTATTGGTTAATTACCATCCTTCAAGGAAACCAGCCTGTCTTCTGGGTGGTGGTGGAGCAGCAGCATATTGTGGAGGCGCCATCACTGGAGGACCTTGATAATAACCTAAACAAGCACCAATATTTTTTCATATTACAGAAACAGACCACAAAGCAAGCTAGAAAGGAAAGAAGAAATTAAACGAGTGAGTCTTCTATGAACAGATAAGAAGCTACCTTGATGAGGGGGAGGATAGGGATAACCGTACTTGGGGTCACTCATTTCTCTGAGAAAAACACGACCAACACAATCTTTAGCACTGAAACCAGAGGTATCTCTTCGATCTGTGATCGAAACGGAGTTTGGGTTTTGGCTGACACAGTTAAAAAAGTTGCGAATCGTGCGTCCCCTAGTTTCGACCTCTATTTATAAAACTTGCGTGTGAAGCTTCTCTTCATTCCCGCACGCTCTCTCATCTCTCGCTTTTATTGAATTGGAGCACTCCCACTTTTGGATCTCGATGATAGAAGAATTTTTAATAAAATTAAAATCAAAATTAAAACCAGAATCGAATTAAATTTTAAAAGTGTGTTTGGTATGAAAATTGAATCATGATATAATTTTAATAAATATATATATTTAAAATATAAAAAATTAAAATACCCTTTATTTTATTTTTTTAATGACACATAAGCCAATTCTATGTTGAGTTGGTAGATTTCATGATCTCTACAATGAAATTGGATTCCATCAATTTTGATGGAATCAGATTATTGCAAGAAAGCAATTCTGATATACCAAACAAGCCAATTAAAAAATTTTATGTCCAATTCTATTTTTCTTTTTACAATTTTGATGTACTAAATATGGCCTTATTCTTCGTCCACCCTCACGGCGCCACTTAACGTTGAGAGTTGAAGTCAACAGAGGCCATCTTTTGCCTGCAGAAAAAATAATATTTAAGTCTTTAGAGATCAAATCAACGATAATTAAATTCTTCAAAGTATTTTTCAAAAATAATTTATGCTTATAAATAACAATCTCAATTGAATGTTATATTTAGAATTTAAATATTTTATTCGCAGCTGAAATCTTAAATTTATAATTATTTGTATTAATATTTGCGATCTTAAAAAAAAATATCAAAAACTTTAGCTGTTAAGTAAATCTTCTGCGACCTAATTCCTTCGGTTTTATGTAGAATTGACTTTCAGCATGTTTTTAAATCAAGAAATACTCTAAATTTTATTAATTTTATTTAAAAATTTAACTTTATTCTTATTAAATATTTATATTTTAATAATTTTCACAATATCAGAAAAGTATAAAATAAACACAAAAACTATAAATATATACTATAAATTGGATCACAATAAACATTCTCTGTCATATTAATAAAAACAGTTTTTTCACAAACAAGACAGGCGGGAGATTACGGGACCACGTGGGGACAGGACCAATTGACAGGTGTGCAGTGAGGCAGGCAGTAACTGGAAAGAAGGGATCCCGGGGAGGGGTATTATTTTTTCTCCTTCATTTTCCATCATTTTCTCAATCTCTATCATTTAAATTATTTTATTAAATAATTTTTTAAAATGATAAATTTAATAAATAGTGAAGATAAAGAAAATAAAAAAAAATGGAGGAAAAAAAAAATGAAGAGATCCAAAGGAGAAGACTGGAAGAGGCTGTTGAAGACAAGTCATAGAAAAGTGGGCCACGTGACAGCTCAGCGTGACCCAAGTCGAACTCGCGCGTCGCTTTATGATCTCTTGAATATGGTCTAGTTTGATTCTTTTTCGCCCTACGTTGCTCCTAAATGCTTATCTTCTTGACTTTAATGCCGCCACATGATGTGGTTGAGTTTGTTTCTCCAGAAAATTCCTCCAGAATCTAACCCGGGAAAAAACAGGTAATATCTCCGCTGCCGCAGTTTGAACGCTTTTTCTTCAACATTAATTAATCAAAATCCATCTCAAAAGCAATTCAAAAACAGGAATCCCCAGAAGTGGGTTTAGAAGGGGAGGCTTTATTTGGTTTGGTTTTCTACTTGCGTAGCCTTTGTTGACATAAATAAATACATTTGCTTTCTGAATCAATTTTCTTCTATTTCATTTCATCTTTACATCGTAATTCTATTTCTTGCTCTACTTCCATATCCAAACTCTTGAATGAATTATTATTCGGGTTATATATAGCAGGATCACCCAACTTATTAAACACTTAAAATATATATTATGTGAGTGAATGAGACATCAAGAAGACGAGGAATAGAGATCAGAAAATTACAGGCAGCCCAATGAAATTAGGCCCTTGTGTTTGTCCAAAATCACCCTTCACTGCAAAAATGTTCATATTATAATGGAAGGAATGAGTTCTTCACAAAATAACTAATCAATGCTTAAAATTTTGTTAAACAATATGCTCATATTTTGTATTTAACTATTTACTATAAAAAAATCAAATCTATTATAGTAATATTCATAAAGACTTCTTTTTGCACCAACATTATTTATGAAGACTTGACACTCATTAAATAAAGTCTTCAATTCAACTTTTGTACACACTAGGAAAATTCTTTTATACTGATATTTCAGGTGCTCACTGCTCATTTCATCTTATAAATATAAGCTGTCCGAGTTAAAATTATACATTTCAAATTCAATTTTTTTACATTTTTATGTTCTTTTAATTCAATAAGTAAATAATATTTTAAATTTCACAATTTAAAAAAATAAATTTACTTAAACTTGGAACATCCAAATTAAATTTAAGCAGTTTAGATATTATTACAGCAATAATCATGTAGATTTGAATCCTTATACTTCTGGATACTTGATGATTTGTAAAAACAAAAATAAAACAAAAAAAAAATGTCATGGGTTACTTAAGTCTAATGGTGTATTCGTGAGGACTAACCTAAACCAATAATTCAATATGATCCAGTTTCCTGTCCAAATTCTTTTCATAATAATATTCTGAATTTCCTGATTTGAAGAATCTAGAGAATTTGGAATTTATATTTAACACCTCCAGTCCTGAGAATTCGGCTTCTATTGAAGAATTGAATGTCTTCATTACTAAGCAGACTTTTAAAAATTCGGATAATTGGTTCAACGACAAGATTGATATATCCTTTAAAATTTATAAAAGTAAATCAGCATAAAAATCAAACAAAATTCAATAAAATTTAGTTGAGAATAATGATATTGAAATTAATTACTTACTTATTTATTTATTTACAGAAGGTACTTTAAGATAAAAATATCTAATGTTTAACAGACCGCGCTCAAGATATTTCACAAATTTGTTAATATGTCGTGATTAATTTTAGAATGATCACATAATTATGAAGATCATCATTCATCACAAGACAGGGGTCCACGCATGTGCTTTTACGGCATTCTAGAATGTCCTCAAAGGGACAAAGTTGCATAATACGTGCAAAATAATGAAGAACATGCACAATTATTTAAGAAAAAATTACATTCAAGTTTCATGAAAAAAAATTATTATCAAAAAATTTTATAAATTTTATAAAATATTTTTAAATTTTAAATCTCACTCGTTAGTAATTTAATTAAAAATATTAATAACTGAACAATGATCATTTATAACTTGTTATTATAAATTATTATTTTTCTTTACAAGTTATAAATAGTCATTGCTTAATTGTCAATACCCTTAGTTAAATAGTTAATACGCAAGATTTGAAATTTGAGAATATTTTATAAAATGTATGAGACCTCTTAATAATAAACTTTTTTTGTGAAATTTAAATGTAATTTTTACACTATTTAAAAAACTGTCAACATAATGGGTGGTGTAAGTGTAATAATTACTAGTATTGTTTATTAGCTCCACTAATCAATTTGGATTAGTTTCTTTAATGATAAATTATTGCCCACCTCAATCTTTCTTTCTCCAACCCAAAACTCTGTATGTGACAAAAAATACTTTAACCAATCTTGTTGCTGACTGAAAGTTCAACCACTCCAATACAATTTCCCCTTTTTATTCCTTTAAAAAAAGACATGATTATGGGCATTTGCCATTCGTAGCTTCTACAACATGCTAGATTATGTAGGACTTGATTCCATCCCATGATGTCATCAAGATAATTTTTGTAATATAGGACTGGTTTGATTTTTATTTTTTAAAAAAGAAAACATTTAGATAAGTATCCCGGGGCATGCTTAATTTCTGTTTTTAAATTTTTTCCTCCACTCAAAAAAAAATCTGTCTTTTAAAAAAAGAAAAGTGGTTGGGCAAGTGTTCTAATTTAAATGTTTTCAAAATAATTTAAATTAAAAAAAACAAAAATTGAAAAATTGAAAACTATTTTTATTTTTTTACTTTCAAAACATAATATATTTGATGCCATAAAAAACACATTACATTTGATTATTAACCAAATACTATTATAAGTTTTCATCATAAAGCCATCAACGACTACTATTATTGGTCAATTTTTAACTCTAAAACTATGTTTAAACTAATATAATCAAATTGATTTTTTTTTAATTTTGTTATGAAAAATAATTCTAAAACCTATTTTATAAAAAAATTAAATAATAAATGAAAGATAACCAGACATGTTTTTTTTTCAAGACTATCCTCATTTTCTTTGTTTTTTAAAAAATAAAAATATCTTAGAACTTTTTTTGTTTTATTTTTTTTAAATACACCATATTTAATTATAAAAAACTACTATCAACTATGATCAATTACTATTATAAGTGACAATTATTAATCACGGGCGACCACCACAGATATTAGCCAATTTTTTATCTTTAAAATTATTTTTAACTTAACATAATTAAATAATTTTGTTTATTTTGTTTTGAAAACTAATTTTAAAAGTTATATCATAAAAAACATTTAAAAATAGGAATACAATCAAACAGGCTTACGATGAAGGAAATTGAGCTCAAGAAAGAAAAGTTCACAAGGGATTACAGGTTGAAGTTAAATCAAATATACCTTATTTGAGGCCCATTTAACTTTGGTTCACTGTGGCCCGAAAAAGGTTTAAATACAAACTTTAGTTCACTGACAACTAGAGGTCGTAATTTGAATCTCGATTGGTTAATTCTAATAAATTTAAAAAATTTTAAATTAGGGTTGAGAGTTTGAAAAACTTTTCTTACCTTAAACTTATTTGAGCCGCTTGAATAAATCTGAAAAAATTTAGGCCAATTTGAGCACGAATACTCAAATTCATTTGTATTATTAATAAAATAATATAAAAATTTAAAATATTATTTTTAAAAAATAAAAATTAAA